CTGCTAATCTGGGAAAAAGTAGCCAAAACAGTGAAAAGTTGGAAAAAATGACTAAATTAGCCTGGAAAAAGCAAATAGTTCCTGGCACGCGCTGCGGCCCGTTGACGACCGCCCTAATCAACTGCCCGGATGACGAGGGTACTTAGTAATGCAAATAATACATAAGTGATAGTGCGGACGTTTTCATTCGTTTTTCATTTCACCTGAAATTCTCTTCCTTTTTACTTTTGAAAAAAAATTGATTTCGATGAAAAAGCTGATTTGAGTAGCGTGGTCTTCCGAATCGATTTCTCATGGAAAGTCAGTTTCTTCATAACAACAAATGTTGGTGTTAATATTTGCCTATTGTTTGCATTACTATTTTCATACAGTTTCTAGTAAAAAGCGGGAAAATCACAAGAAAACGAGTGAAAAGGCGCGTGCACTTATGGAAGTTCACGACTCCACGAAGAAACGTTTTTGTTATTGTGGGTTAAAGGCAGAACCCGCGATTATTCGCCATCTCAGATAGTGGATTAGGGGGTTCCATATAGACGACAAGGGGTTGAGTAACTCGACAGTGAAGAAAAAAAAGCACAAAAAACATGCCACCTGCCCTAGATAGAACCCCATTTTGATCCCAGTTTGTACGTGCCCAATTAACTCTATCTCCCACACTACGCCCTCATACGCACAGCTGATTCACCGATAAGAACTCTACGATCGTACAAGTGACGATTTTCATGCTTTTTCGTCCTGCAATCTCGTTTTTCACTGAAAGCCGGGCATTGGGGCGGAGTCTGGAGGCGGAGTCACTGGAAAAAAGGAGGAACCACTGAACCTATATTGCGCTATAGCGCCCCTCCCTTAGAATTTTTGCCGCGAAACCGGTACAAGGTTGTTCGTCGCGGACCACTCTAACCTCCTGACGCCATATTTTCAACTTCGATACCTGATCGCGGACCGTGCCTTTAATGAGAATGCGTTAAGTGTTAATGTGAATGTGTTAATATTATTTTTCTAATGTTTGTATTATTATTTATATCCAAGAGTTAGCGAAAAAGAAAAAAAATCACCAAAAACGAGCGAAGAGACTCCCATCCCGTGTTGGCGTGTACCCGGGAGTACACGATTCGCCGAAAGAGGGCTTTGCTTCGTGTACGCCTGGGAGGCACACGCCACCGCGAACGTGTTAAACAGCAGTTCCTGCGGTTCGATTATTAGTGGTGAAGCAGGGTCAGTCTTGCGCGATTCCTAAATCACCCCACCCCCTTCTTGAACGATTTCGACTTGCGAAGTTTGAATGCAGTCTTAGAAAAGGAAGATACTGGTTTGGAAAAAAAAACTACGTTGAATCGGTCAGCACAAGCTGTGCATCAGGAAAACTTCGAATTGAGAAGACGATCATTCGTGTTACTCGAGAGAGGTACTAATGATTTCCTCGCTGATAGGGACCTGTATCAAGAGCACTGGTGGAATTTTGAGTAATAATTGAGGTGCGGGCGACTTTTACCGTTTGTTTGGAGAATTGTGTAAAACACAGGTGAAAAGGTTGTAGAGGTCGACAGGCAAAAATTCAGGTTGACACGGTTCCTATGCGAGGTGATACTGAAGGCCGCGGTCGCTGACCTTCCTCAATTACCTTCCAATGGTCCAGATCAAGAAGGGTTGAGTTTAAGAGTTGCCAAAGTGTTAGTCTCAAGCATTTTGCAGGGATAAGCTCTCACCAATTCATTGGTCCGTCAACTACACCTATGAGGAATCTCGAACGGGCAAATTAAGTGGAAATCAACTGGAACCGGCCATTGACACCACCGTACCCTGTGTCTTTCGAGAACAAGGTAAGTTTCACAATCAGAAAAACTCATAAAATTTATTCTTTCCTGTGTTTACAGATCAACATCGCGAACAACTGTGGCAAAGACGACGTGTGTGTTCCCGATCTGAAAGTGCACGCAACAGCGTGAGTTCATTTCCTTTGGAATTCGCAGTGTATGTGGGTGGAGCACGTCCTTTATTTTGTAGAGATCGAGAGAAATTCCTGATCGGAACAAAGGACAACACACTCATATGTGGGAAAAAAACGTGACTGTACAAAACGGAGGTGAAGATTCCTACGAAACGAAGCTGTACTTTGACGTTCCCGAAGGCTTCGAGTACAGTGGGGTGGTAGCCACTGACGAAAAGGTATGTAGAATCCAATGGACTTTGCAGAACGCTGTTACGAAATGTACTGCATTTAGACCGCACCAAGTTGCTCACCAACCACTGAAGAACCCGACGAGGATGGGAAATGGACATTCGCTTGCGAACTCGGAAATCCTCTACCACAACAGAAGACATTGTCAACGGTGGTCCGAATCACCGCCAATGAGGCCAAGCCTCCTACGAAACCGATCACAATCCACGCTTTTGTTAACAGGTACATAACCACATATTTCCTTGAGTAACACTCCGCGATAACCTTATGGGCGGAGACTCATGACCATTGCCAATGAGGAAGAAAAAATGACAGTGAGTCCCCGCCCATCCAGTTGTGGCGGAATATGTTTTTGAAAACAAAATTTGCTTCTTTCGTGTCTATAAAAGGAAATCAAAAGAAGTTTAGTTCAAACGAGGAAGCAGACAACACTGAAGGCGACAACTCGTTCACCTTCACAATTCCTGTCGACGTCAGAAATCAACTTTCTCTCAACGGACGGTCTAATCCCGAACAGGTACTGGTTCAGGGGGATCCCCTTCTTTTTTGACTTACTCTCTTGCCGCATGATATTTCAAACTTACTCGAATACTTAACGGTCACTTTAGATTGATTTCTCGACGAGAAACAGGACACCTGAGGATGTCTTCGACGACAACGAAATCGGCCCAGTTGTCAGCCATCTCTACCAGGTTACTATTACTTGCCAAGCTAATAATTTTGTTATGTCAGCTGAGGGTAGGGGGAAATTTTCCGAGGATTCGATTTTGTGGAAAAAAAACGAGAAATAACAACTCAAACTTTTTTGGGATGCGGCACGCATTCCACCTTCATTCACAATCGTAGTGGCCCGCTGAATGCAAAGTGGTCAGGTTACAGTAATCGAGCCCGAATATGGATTGGGCATGTACTCCCGCGGCCCGCTGTGTGCATTCACGACCAACACAATTAATTTCATGCGCAGTTTTCGGGGTTCTGTATGCACCCTGACTTCCTGAACTTATAATTCAGTAGACGAATCTGGTGCCAGATGGGAAGGCTTGGTTGGCCAGGGCGGGAGCCAATACGGAATTTGACCCCCAAACAGCGCGCGAGGTAAGGCTGCGTTCATGCTTTGCGGCAGCGTCCACCAGCGTCTATCACTGTCCACCGTACACCAGCGACCGAGTGTAGAGTATGGGGGGGGGGGGGGGTAGCAAACAGCTGGATTGGGCGTCGATCGCGGCATGTGCAACAGCAACTGCACTACACCGTACATTGAATTACATAATTTGTGCTTTAGCAGTTGCACAGTGCGGTTGCACACCAATCTAGCTGTTTGCTGCCCTCCTTCTTCCCCATACTCTCTACTCCCGGTCGCTGGTGAACGCTGGTAGACGCTGGTAGACGCTGGCAGACGCTAGATCGATATCTATACTTTCCTAGTCGCTGACGCTGCCGGAACGCTAGAGGACGCTGCCGCAAAGTATGAACGCAGCCTAAGCAAGCCGCTTGACTACATCACCCCCCCCCCTCATCAGTCATCCGCCAGCAATTTCCAATTATTTTATTAATTTATACGCAATTAAACACTTGTCCGTTGAAGGTATCAAACCGAGGCCCATCAGAAATCGACGCCGCTACGCTTGATATCTTCTGGCCATCGTTCTCGGCTGACGGCGGTCATCTGCTCTACATTATCACGGACCCAGTGCTGAGTGATCCTTCCAAAGGACGGTGCCGTGTAAAACAAGTACAGAATATCAACCCACTTAATCTGAGGGTGAGTTAGAAATCTAGTTTGAAAAATTATTTCACAAAACAGTCACTGTTGCAGGTGACAAACGAGCACATCGCCACCGAATCGCCTCGTAGGATACAGCCTGCTGATTACGGTAAAACCGAAGAAGAAGAAGAGAACGATGAGGACGAAGACGAAACCGAGGAGCATATGGAGAGAGAAGAAAACACGCAGGTAGCTCTTTGAATCGGGTAACAGTTCAAGTGACTAAGCGTCGACCCACGACATCATTTGCATCTATTTTGCCACCATCTACACCTATTTGGGGGCAGTTCGGCGACGAGGGAGGGGCAATCTTACAATTAGCTCCTTCCCATCGACGTGTCGACGCCTCTAGAGAGCAATTTAGGGAGCTCACAAGAGTTGACAGGTTTCACCATGGTGGCTGGACGAGCTTGCTCTAGTTCACAAGAGTTCACAGGTTCCACCAGAATGAGACTTGTGAATTGGAACTAGTGTGGCAGCGAAAGTGCAAAATGCCCCCCGTCGCCGAACTGCGCTCCTAATTGCACCTCTTGAACTCTCGCTCAACTCTCTTGAATTTTCTTTACGTCTGATTTCGAAAACGTGCTGAACTTTTCAGCTGAATGTGGCTCCTCCACGATC